GCTGTGTTTGCACTCGCTGTTAGCGAGATAGGGGAGGGGGAAGTGGGGGAACGCAGGGAGTAAAGGTGAGAGTGGATGAAAGCCAAGAGATATGAGATGGGGTGGGGGTGAGGGCTTTGTGCAGGTATGTATCTATGGAGAGTCAAAAATGGGTCGCAAGAGAATACCGAGAATGGGCAGCAGCTGAAATAGCCTGCCCTTCGGTCGGTCCCCACTCAGTTCTCAAGCTGATTTTTGCTCAGCTTGTGGCATTACAGAGAGAACATATCTGAAGCATATCAGACTGGTCCCACCCATACGGGCAGTCCAGATCCGAAATGCCAGCAAGTTCTCTCTGCACGAGAGATACAGCAACCCCAGACGATCATTTCAGCCTTGTTAGGCATCATCAGTGAGGCATAGCTGATATCTCCCTAGGCACCGTGAGCAAGGGGTCCATGTCTGGATTATACGGGCAGTCCAGATCCGTCTGGTATGTGTCTATGGTTTCAGATTAGTGAGCAGCCTTGTATAGTCGGGCGATGATAGGAACTACAACCAGTAAAACCAGTGTTGGGTATATCTTTTCCGGTCTTTGGCCGTAATGAGTTTCAAATCTTCAAAACGTCTAAATGACATTACGGCCTGTGTGTTGAGTATTTGGTGGATGTGAGTAATTCTCGCTTCTGGAGGGAGATATCTGGCGATATTGCCCTGAGGGTTGTCAGGGGTGCCCTAGTGTGAAAGGTGTGTTTATTCCCCAAGGTGTCAAAGAAGGCAGTCCAGCATTTGAGAGTAAGTATTGGGTGTGGGGAGCAGTTCGGGCTTGGGTGTTCTAAGATGTCTGGGCGTCCACAGGTAGTCCACAATTTTGTTTCTATGGAATTGTGCCTTCTCCATGTCTACCTATTGAATTTTCCCTTCTGGGGAGTGTAAGCGTATTCCCGCTGTTAAAGCCGAGGATTTGTAGTAAAGGACAATGTTGGGTAGGCCCACACCTCCTTGTTTTGTGTGTGTATGTAACACTGATTGAGGTATATGGGGTTTATTATTAACCCAAATAAATGTGTTAGATTTAACGAGTGTCTGTGGTACTTGGATAGGGAGCATTCGGAAAATATAGAGTATTTTTGATAGGATCATCATTTTGTATGCATTGATTTTCCCCAGTCATGAGATGTGTGCGTGTGGCCATTTATGGACCTCTGTCTTGCAAATATGTGGGAGCGTGAGGTAGTTTAGTTTCACCACTTCTGCTATTGATGTTGCAATTTTCAAACCTAGGTATGTCAGAGAGTACATTCTCCAGTCGAAGGGGTATTTTTCCCTTAGGCTATCTTTGGTTGTCGTGGGAAGTTTAATGGGTAATGCTTGGGTTTTATCTTGGTTTAGGCAGTAGTGTGAGATAGTACCAAACTCCGCCAGGGTCGCCATAAGGTGTGGCAGTGATTTGTCTGGGATTTATAGTGTAACTAGAACATCATCGACGAATAAAGCTGTGGCGAAACCAGCCTCGCCACTGTCCACTGGAGGAGCCTGGTTGCTCGCCTGCTCCCTTTAGACTATGGCCCGGCAGTTAAAACCTTTTATTTTTCCTGCAGAAAAGCGTATTCGTGCCTTTCTGCAGACTGTTAAAGCCATGCTACCCCAGATAGCTATGCCATGGAGCCCAGCCGTATACTGAAAGACTGTATGAAAGACTTTGGCTCCATGGCGATTGAACTGTATGTACGTGATCTGAGCACCATCCGGTAATACTGTGCGCTCAGATCTAAGCTATCTGGGGATATGTAGAATGTGTATGTTCTATGTGATAAATGTAACCTGGTGTATTTTATTGTGTTTTACTGTCTTTTTACTGCCATGTGCTTAATGGAGTTTTGCCTCTGTCCTTGGAGATAATTGGATTACTTCCCAATTATCTCCATGATAGAAGACTCTGTGGAACTGGTTTTGGGCAGAAAAGCCATGCTTCATTTGGTCACAAAGGACTTGATTTTGACATATGTTGGTATTTGGAGTATGCTGATTCTGAAAATGTAAGTAAGTGTTTATGTGAATGTGATGCATACTTTTCAAGTTCTGAATAATGTGGAAAAACTGTATTTCTCTGGCTGTTATAATTACATTACACATTGTGTAAGGTAATTGTATCACAGGCAGAGGGGAGGATTTTGTGTAGGAGTGTCTGAGTGTATTGTACGTGTTTATTGGTGGTTTTCCAAAACCTTGTGGGTGGTACTAATGTGTATATAAGAACAATAAACCCACAGCTCTGTCAGTTCTGCTTGACCTCAAAACGAAGTGTTGTCTCGTTATTGGGGGAATTGGATTGTATGCTGATTGCCAGGAGTGTAAGCTGATTGTATGCTTTTCCTGTTCAGCTGCTTACAGCATTCATATGCTTGAGAGCATTCGTATGCTTCTCCGGTTCGGTGGTTGTGGTGTCTGCTGCAGTGCTTGGAGTCCTCAGGAAGCGCTAGGAGCATCCTTCAACCGAGGTACCCAGTCGGGGTGCCAGGTGATCCGTTACAAAAGCCAACCTGTATTCTCGTCCCAACACCTAGATTCCATGTATGCTTGGGTGATTGCGGATTTTTTGGGTCAGGGGTTCCAAGGAGAGCATGTAGAGTAAAGCGGAGAGAGGGCATCCCTGGCGGGTCCTGTTTGATATAGGAAACGAGTCTGAGAGAAATCCCTCGTGCGAAACCTTGGCTGCTGGTGAAGCATAAAGCCGTATTTCACGAGAACCCCTTGCATGTATGCCCACTTGAGTCCTCGCATCCAGTGCGAGGAGGAGGCCCCCGACCGAGCTGCGCCCCATGGCTGCCAGTATGTTAAGGATCTTTCAGGTGTTGTCTGATTCCTTTGACGAACCCCGATTGGTCGTTGTGTACCAGCCCACCTAGCATTGAGGCAAGTCGGTTGCTGAGTATTTTTGCATACAGTTTGGCATCTTCATTGAGGAGGGAGATTGGCCTGAAATTTTTACAGGTGGTAGGAGGTTTGCCAGGTTTGGGCATGGTATATATATGAGCCATGAGCATCTCAGCAGGTAGTGCCCTATATTGTATGCTATACTGGTATAGGCCAAGTAGGTGAGGGGAGAGTATACAGGAGAATTCTTTATAATATCGGTTGGGGAGACCGTCTGGTCCTGGGGACTTATTTGTGGGCAGGTCCGCTATAGCTTTGGTGAGCTAGTCTAGGGATATTGGTTATTAGAGATAGCGTACGTTTTCTAGTGACAGGGATGGTAGGTGGACATCGGCCAAGAACCTATTAATATCCTCTGGGGTGGGAATTGTCATCGCTCCATCTTAACTCAAATTATACAGCTTGTGGTAATAATTGGAAAACTCACAATCATTTTTGGGTGTATGATTTTTTGACCCTTGTTGTTGCTTAGGTAGGCAATCCTGGTGGCGGCTGACCTTTGTTTGAGCTACAAGGCTAATTTTGCGCCTGTTCTGTTTCCTGAAGCAAAGAATTTATGTTTAGCTTTTTGTAGAATATATGTTGTTTAAGCCAATTCTAAGTCTCGCAGCGTGGTCTGCTATTTAAGCAGGTTAGCCTGCCTAGCAGGCGTGGACGAGCATTGGTTTCGGTGTTTTAGTGAGGTGATTTCCGCAATTATAGCCTAATATTGGGCTTGGAGTAGTTTTTTTGCATGTTTCGCATGTTTTATAAAGCTACTTTGGATCACTGCTTTGTGTGCTAACCATATGTGGACTGGTTTCATGTCCGGTTGAGTATTCTCTGCAAAGTAGTGTTGAAGGTCTAATGTAGTTTGGGAGATTATAAGTGGGTCATTGAGTAGTGACTCATTTAGCCTCCAAGTGGTTTAACCAAATAGTTTGGTCAGTGCTCAACACTTTCTCTGGGATGTAGCTCTGATTAAGAATCTATCAATCCTTGAATAGCTGTTGTGTGCAGCAGTATACCAGGTGTAATCAATTTCAGATGGGAAATCCTCCACGGGTCTATGTAGTTGTGTGTCAGAAGTGTTTGGCAAATGTTGGTTGTTTGAGTGTGTTGTTTTTTGGAAGTGGCAGTGGTTACTGTCCGCGAAGTGGACGAGTGCATAGTGCTATGTAGGAGAAAATTAGTATTGCCTCCAAGAATTACCTCCAAAAGCTGTACATCAGTGCCAAGACATTGATTATGAACACAGCTTGGTTGTCATTAGGGCCATAGATATTCATTAGATTGTAAGGATTGTTATTGATGTGAAATTGGAGAATAAGATATCTGCCCTTTTTGTCACAAATGTTGCGGACCAGTTCAAAAGCGACATTTTTATTTACCAGTATAGACACTCCTCTCTTTTTGTTGTTGTAACGTGTGGTAGTCCACTGAGAACCAAGGAGAGTTAAACCTGGGTCTGGATACCCACTTAAAATGGGTTTCCTGAAAGTATGCCACTTGTGCGCCTTGTTTTTTGGCCTCCTGGAGGGCCAGTCTTTGGCGTTCAATGAGAAAATGTTTAAAGTCATAGTGACAGTTATATTTGTTGGCGGGGGGTGTGGGTTATGTATCTATGGATCAGCGAGGACTTAAGATGCTGTAAAGTTTTTCATTATCAGTGGAATGGTGGTCAAGAGGGCTAGGTGAGAAGTAAGAGAGTGGTACAAAACTATTTACAGTTTCCCGTTAGCCGCGTGGGCTCGATGCAGTAGACTGCAAACGGGTATAGGATTGCTTAGCTTGTAAGTCGTGGGTTGGGCTAGTGGTTATTTTGGCAAGAGTGTTATGCAGAATAATTTAACTATAAGTTTGAACAATACAAATTCAACAATAACTCTTGACCAAATGTGGACTCATGGCTGTTAGTCACATTAGCAGTGAATAAAGCCATAAGTGCAAATTGGCAATATATACATAGTACTGGTCATTATAACAGGTGTATATCTGGCTGATCATATTACATGCTCTGGTGCGGTCAGGACGTGGCCCTCAGGAGCAGGAGGTTCTACCGGTCCATGGAGCCGTTGCATTCCACGGAACTTGCTGCCAGTCTTTCAACATTTTTTGTGGTGGCCTGGTGATCTCAGATTGTCGCTTGGCAGGACAGGTATATTCCAGTCCTTTAGGGCTTTCAAGCCTTCTTCAGGTGTGAGGATAGCTCTGTCTACTCCATTCCTTTTGATTAGTAACTTGGCTTGAAATCCCCACTTGTACAGTATGTTAGCATTGCGTAGGGCAGCAGTGATGGGCGCGAATGTCTGCCTCTTGTAAGTGGTGGCTGCTGATAGGTCAATTAACAATTTTATATCGGCATATTCTCCTGGGAGGGTGGTAGTGAGTCTGGAAGCTTGCATTAATTGGTCTTTGACCAGAAAGTAATGTACCATGGTAATGACGTCTCTGGGTATTGATGCCGGTAGATGTCTGGGTTTGTGTAGTCTGTGGGTCTTATCTAGGAGGAGATCTGCTTCTTCCAATGTTGGGATTAGGGTTTTGAACAGTTTCTGTACAAATTTAGTCAGGTCCTGCGGCCCTATGGTTTCGGGGACACCACGCAGCCTGATATTATTCCTCCTGTCCCGGTCTTCGTTGTCTGCAATTTTTCCTTCTAGAAATCTGACTTTGTTCTCTAATGCCGTGTGTGCATCTGTGAGTTTGTTATGTGCGTCCAGCATCTCTTCTGTTTTCTCTTCAAGATGAGCTGTCCTGTCGCCTAGGGCCTGAATGTCTGCTCTAATGTCCGACACTATTTTCAGGAAGTCTGAGCGCAGGGCTGCTTTTAAGTCATTCAGCATGGTACTCACTGATGCATCTGTAGCAGGGAGTAAGTTTGCATTAGTGAAGCTGCCTTTGGCTGTCTCCAGCATCGGACTCAGACGTAGGTGATCCAGGCTCCCCGCCGCCATCTTGGTCACCGCTTGCGGCATGTTCAGATGTGAGTACATGGTTTTTTGCTTCTTTTTTTGCCTGATTTTGTTGTCATGTTGATCAGGGTGCACTTGGTGGCAGAATGGACTATTTTTAGCTTTGAATTTGCTGTTTGTCACGCTGTGAAGACCACAAGTCAGCGGAGCTCACGGTTTATGCGACTGCTTCCATGCGGTCCTTGGCCACACCAAGATTATTTTTTAAGGTGAGCAGTGGGCTCGGTTTTTTCGACAGGAATAATTTTGGTCCTGTATGGTGCTATAGGGTTAGGGTAACCTTCACGAATATGTTGGTGGTTGCGAGTCGTGCTCCGTCCACCTTCGATATCTATGGTAGGGTTCTCACTTCTAGTTGGACCCATTTTTCACCGCTATCTGTAAGTGTCCAGGTAATAATTCTTGAGAAGTGCGTGGCTAAGTAGTACTTTTCCATGTCCGGTGAGTCCAGACCCCCTCTTTTGGGAGCGTTAGTTGGGAATGTGCTATTCTGGGTGATCTGTCTTTCCATATGAACTTTCTGAAGTCTGCTTTCAGGGTTTTAAAGAATGAGGCCAGGACTGAGATGGGTACAGTCAGAAATAAAACAGTATCTTCGGCAATAATGTCATCTTTACTGTGTTGACGAAGCCTATCCAGGAGATATAGTGGGCGCTTCAGGTGTGTAGCTTTTCTATAGCTTTCTGTAACAGCGGTTGATAGTTATGAACGTATAGGTCATTTGGGTCGTTCGTGAGCAATATCCCCAGGTACCGCATGATGGTGGTGCACCACTTAAAGGAGAACTCCCTCGAGAAGTTTTGGTGTTGTGTCAGAGAGACAGTGATTTCCAAGATTTATGATTTCGTATAGTTGATCCAGAGATTCGAAACATGGCCATACTCTGCAAACTCCCTCATGATCTCTCTTAGGATGGTAGCTGGGTTTGTCACCAGGAAAAGCAGGTCATCCGCATAGGCTAGTACCTTATGGTTGGTTTTCCCTGTGTGCAGTCCGGCATTCTACCCTATCTTATTCAGGAATGGCTCGAGTGTCAGTGCGAAGAGGAGAGGGGAGAGGGGACAGCCCTGTCAAATTTCATTAGATATTGGGAATGGGTCTGAGAGGGCTCCGTTTATTCGTAGTCATGCAGTGGGGTTGTGGTGCAGGGCTGATATCCACGATGTGAACTTCGGTCCGATGCCTTCCTCCTGTAGTGTACCTTGCATGTGCCCCCCCCCAAAAGCTATCTCAACATCTGTTGACAGGAGTAGGATCAGAGTGCCGCTACGTCTGGCCTCCTCTATCAAGTCCAGCGCCCTTATTGTGTGGTCCTTAACTTCTCTTCATAGTAGACTAGAGAGGGATCTGATAGGATGGATTCGTTTAAAGGCCATGGCCTTTGGGGAGGGCAAAACAGTGGTGATTGCAATTGCAGGCACACCATGTCATCGGTAGTACAGGGAGTGCAGAATTATTAGGCAAGTTGTATTTTTGAGGATTAATTTTATTATTGAACAACAACCATGTTCTCAATGAACCCAAAAAACTCATTAATATCAAAGCTGAATATTTTTGGAAGTAGTTTTTAGTTTGTTTTTAGTTTTAGCTATGTTAGGGGATATCTGTGTGTGCAGGTGACTATTACTGTGCATAATTATTAGGCAACTTAACAAAAAACAAATATATACCCATTTCAATTATTTATTATTACCAGTGAACCCAATATAACATCTCAACATTCACAAATATACATTTCTGACATTCAAAAACAAAACAAAAACAAATCAGTGACCAATATAGCCACCTTTCTTTGCAAGGACACTCAAAAGCCTGCCATCCATGGATTCTGTCAGTGTTTTGATCTGTTCACCATCAACATTGCGTGCAGCAGCAACCACAGCCTCCCAGACACTGTTCAGAGAGGTGTACTGTTTTCCCTCCTTGTAAATCTCACATTTGATGATGGACCACAGGTTCTCAATGGGGTTCAGATCAGGTGAACAAGGAGGCCATGTCATTAGATTTTCTTCTTTTATACCCTTTCTTGCCAGCCACGCTGTGGAGTACTTGGACGCGTGTGATGGAGCATTGTCCTGCATGAAAATCATGTTTTTCTTGAAGGATGCAGACTTCTTCCTGTACCACTGCTTGAAGAAGGTGTCTTCCAGGAACTGGCAGTAGGACTGGGAGTTGAGCTTGACTCCATCCTCAACCCGAAAAGGCCCCACAAGCTCATCTTTGATGATACCAGCCCAAACCAGTACTCCACCTCCACCTTGCTGGCGTCTGAGTCGGACTGGAGCTCTCTGCCCTTTACCAATCCAGCCACGGGCCCATCCATCTGGCCCATCAAAACTCACTCTCATTTCATCAGTCCATAAAACCTTAGAAAAATCAGTCTTGAGATATTTCTTGGCCCAGTCTTGAAGTTTCAGCTTGTGTGTCTTGTTCAGTGGTGGTCGTCTTTCAGCCTTTCTTACCTTGGCCATGTCTCTGAGTATTGCACACCTTGTGCTTTTGGGCACTCCAGTGATGTTGCAGCTCTGAAATATGGCCAAACTGGTGGCAAGTGGCATCGTGGCAGCTGCACGCTTGACTTTTCTCAGTTCATGGGCAGTTATTTTGCGCCTTGGTTTTTCCACACGCTTCTTGCGACCCTGTTGACTATTTTGAATGAAACGCTTGATTGTTCGATGATCACGCTTCAGAAGCTTTGCAATTTTAAGAGTGCTGCATCCCTCTGCAAGATATCTCACTATTTTTGACTTTTCTGAGCCTGTCAAGTCCTTCTTTTGACACATTTTGCCAAAGGAAAGGAAGTTGCCTAATAATTATGCACACCTGATATAGGGTGTTGATGTCATTAGACCACACCCCTTCTCACTACAGAGATGCACATCATCTAATATGCTTAATTGGTAGTAGGCTTCGAGCCTATACAGCTTGGAGTAAGACAACATGCATAAAGAGGATGATGTGGTCAAAATACTCATTTGCCTAATAATTCTGCACTCCCTGTATGTCCAATTCTTTGAGTAGAGGGAGGCTCGGAAATAGTACAAGGAAATAGTCCAATCTTGTATATGTGTCGTGCAAGGTGGAATAAAACATGTTATCGCGGGCTGTAAGGTTGAGCGTCCTCCAACAATCTGCGAGTTGGTATTTGTGCCGATTGTCGTGGAGCTGTGGTAAAGCGTGTGTCCATCACCGGGCAAATGGGGAGGTTGAGGTCGCCCCCGATCACAAAGGTGCCTTCTTGAAAGAGCATTAGTTTACGCAGTACTGTGCGGAGGAATACGTATTGTCCTGTGTTGGGCACGTGTACTTTTGGTCTTGTATCGTGCCCTTGGTAAAGAGGTATCTTCCTCCTTGGTCTTTGTGGGTGTCTTGTTCAGTGTTTGTGATTCTCTTGGAGAACAAGATTCCAATTTTATTTCTCGCATAAATTAAGTCCATGTATGTTGTATGTGATGAGGGTCATGTCATCCTGGGCGTAGTGGGTATCTCCCAGGGGAGTCATTTTGTGGTCTCCCCTTTGCTGTGGCATTCTCGATGTGGTAGGTAGGGCAGGGAAAGAGAGGGGCAGCCACCCACCCCAGCAAAAGGAATATATGGAAAAGAGATGTAGATGGGATAAGAAGAGGAGAGAGAGAAGGAGAGGGGCCAGTGGACAAGAGTCTCAAAGAGGATACACACTCGGGGCCGTCCAGTCGGCAGTTCCCGGGCTCCTCCCGGAGGGCAACGCTCACCTGCTTGACTTGAGGATGGCTGTGTCCAGTGCCCTGTTTGGGCAGTTCAGGGTGAGCAACTAGTGGCCGCTGGGCCGATCGGTCCAGAGAAAGGTGATTCTCTGGAACCAAGAGTTTGTGCTCAGTCACTGTTTGTGTAAGTGGTCAGTGTTAGCTCAGTGCTTCAGTGGAAAGTGAAATTGTCGCACTCCGCCTTGGGGGATCAGTGCGTTAGGATGTTAACTATTTACAGTATGGCATAGGGGGCCATCTCCCTGAGTAAGAGGTATGGTTGCACGTGTTAGGTGTGAGCAAAAACTGGTATTAGGGGTAGTTGGTATATGTGCCGTCTACTGTGGAAGATATTGTGTGGGTTCACTTGCAAGGTGGCGTGTTGGGAGCTTTCATGTTCTCACTTTCCCTTTCCCTCGCTGTCGTGTCTTTCTGGCTACCCTTCCTGTTTCCCCTATATTCTTGCACATTTCATTGGGTTTTCCTCTCTTTCCTTTCCCTTTTTTTCCTCCCCCCTTTCCCTGGTTTCTAACCCTCCACCCTTTTCCTCTCTTCTCTTCCTCCCTCTTTCTGTCCCACCCCTTTTTACTATTTCCTATTCTCTTCCCTCTTTTCTTCCTTTTCCTTCCCCCCTCCCATCACCCCATCTCCTTTCTTCCTTCCCCACCACTCCATCTCTTCTTGCACCTCCTCACCCCTCCCCCCTCATCTCCCCTCCCCCCATCGGGCGTTCCTTATGTGTATATATATATATATATATATATAGATATATTTTTTATTTTATTTTTTATCTTTCATGTAGCTCTGTGTTGTGGTGTGACCTAAATATGAATATTAATCTCTTAATACATAATAATTAAGCAATACGGAACAACATTAATATTTTTATAATTCATGGTATTATGGTCGAATATGTGGATAGAAAATACACAAAACGTTGTAATATTAAATGTATATTTAATATAACTATAATAAATAAACAGATGCTAGCGGAATGTCAATTTCAATAATTATACAATACAATACTACACAAAACACTATTGGTTGCTAAGGCTATTACAATTGCTAACTGTTACAATACAAACATATTACTTACAAGGCCCCAGCCAAAGGGCTGGGGCTAAGTCAGAGCTGGTGCTACATGATCAGTCAGGTACAGGCAAACAGAGAGCTTGCTTCTCCTAACATCTGGGTTTTATTCAGTGTAAGTAGGCTGGCCTGTGATATCACTGCCAGAAGCACAGGTCTTCCTACACACTC